GCTCCTGGATGCTTCTGATGGAGTCTATGTCTCCGAAACCAACAATAATACATCAAAGTAAGTCTCGTTGGCAGACTTGCTCACTCCTGCTCACGCGTGCTCTCCCTGTATGCCTCTCTGTCTCTATCCATCGCTCTCTCTCTCTCTCTCTCTCTCTCTCTTTCTTTCTTTCGCCAGGGCTATGGGCAAGAGGTTGACCCCCTTGCTTCTCTCTCTCTCTCTCTCCTGGGCATGGGGACGGGTCAGCGTCCCCGGGCTTCCAAGCCGTACACTAAGAAACCCCACCAGGCCTCGTCAGTGTTCCGTCAGGGTGCTGCTCTACAACTGTTAGCTGAGGCCCCCACGTCCAGCCGAATGTTTCAGCTCGTGGGCTCTGTGTCCCCAGCAAAAAAAGCAAGGCCAACTAAGGCTTCGATCCCCCAAACTTGCAAGCACAGAACACAGATCACTCTCAAGGTATACCACTACACGTCTAGCACATGGACCGGCCTTGCTGCCTACAGGGCGCACCGCACACAGCTGACACATGAGAACATGATAACGGCACATGCAATACTGTATCAACTTCTCACTTGCTCCCCATGCAGTTCTGTTGGTCTAGGTTCCCCTTCAGCATATCACCTCGTCGTGCGTGCTCAGTGCTCCGGGTGCCAGAAGCCACCGTGCTCATCATAGACCGCGGCACGCATTCGGCGCCGCCGGTGGCTGCTTGCTCTTGCCAGGGTCCAGCTGCGTCTCCCCCATGCGGTTCTTCCGGTTCCCCCTCCGGTTCAGGGTGCCCACTGCCGATGGCCGCCGGCATTGCTTGCTCTCGGGCCTCTTCCTCCACTTGCCTTTCGAACTCGTCCATGGCCGCGGGTAGGTCGTCGTCTCGTCGGGCTGCGTCGGCTGTTGCGGTGCTTCTTCGTCCCCCGAGGACGGTATAATGCCTGACCATTGTGCAGCCCCCAACGGCGGCCGCCACGGCTGCGCCTCCATCTCAGGCGCTCCTGGCTGGCCAAACAGCGACTGGCTGCCTTCTTCGGTGGTTTGCGTGTCCACCGTCACCGGATTCTCAAGCGCCCCCGTGACCATGGCCAAACAGGCTCGCAGTTGTTCCCCTCCAGTGGTTAGGAACGGCACCACGGCTCGAAGGTCCCGAAGTATCTGGTGCGCTTGTTCCCGGTGATCCCCCTGTCCTGGCAGGGGGCCTCTAGAGCTCCTTCTGCTAGTGCTCCCACGTCGGCCGCGTGCGCGAAGTTGAGCAGCTGCGTCTCTGCATAGAACTCCACCGCCGGTTGCAGCAGTAGGTTGAGTGTTTCCCCCCAGCTTTGCGACATCCAGTCGAACTCCCCCTGATGGGTTGCTGCTCGGGCAACCTCCACTGCCTGCCTCACTTGCGACAGGCCCTCGAAGACGGTGTTGATCTGGTCCCCTCCTTGCTTGCTGGCCAGGGCTCTGCATCGCCAGGTCCCTCTCCGTGTGCGCCGATCCGCCGTGGTCTGGTGCTGGTTGATCCCCTCCGGCCCATCTCCCTCCGCTGTGTCGGCTATGCGCTTGCTGGCGATCCACATAATCCAGGCCTCTGTTGCGCCATCGGGGCCGCCCGCAATCTGTGGGATTGCTGGCTGCTGTGCCTCTGGCAGCCTGCACTTCTGCCCCCATGGCCTGCTCCAGCACGTCCATTGTGGCTTCCCCCATGGAGAGCAGCGTGGAGAGGTAGAGCAGCTGTCGTGCTCTCTCTCTCTCTCTCTCTCTCTCTCTCTCTTCCGGGTAGGAGAGAAGGGCTGCGTCCTGGCCCTTCCCCCGTGCGGTCCGCACACCCGCATCTCTCTCTCTCTCTCTCTGTCTCTCTCTCTCTCTCTCTCTGTCCCTCTCGCTCTTCTCTTGCCACGCTTAACCCCGGGCGTCAAGCCCGCCCGCTTATCTGCGCATGATAGGGGGGTGAAATTCCTGGATGGATTTTTGACCGGATATCTTCTTGAATATGTGCTCAGCATGAATTATCCGCTCTCGCTCTCTTCCTCTCTCTCGCACTCCCGCCCTCTCCGGACCCAAAGCTCATGTAAGGGTGGCCCCAGGGAAAAGGTCGGAGATGATGTTCTCGAAGAGCGGCAAATCGTCTTTGAGGAACTTTGGCACCTAAGCTCCGTCACTTGCGGCATGTCAGCGGCCTGTCTCAATGACGAAGCACAACCAACAATGTAACAAGGCTGGTGAAGGTAGGCTCAACCAAAGTTCACGAGTCAATGAATAAGTCCATGGTCCAACTCTCATCGCAAGTGAACAGCCGAGTCTTATTCGGATGGTGACGGGGGGAGGCTCAACCAAAGTTGACGAGTCAATGCATAAGTCCATGGTCTAACTCCCATCCCAAGTGAACAGCCCATTCTTCATTGGATGGTGAGGCATTTGCGTTGACATCGCGCAGGGCTCGCAGAAGGATCTGCGACCTGGGCAGGTTCGAGAAAAGCCGCAAGTGTCTCCTCTGGCAAGTAAAATCCTGTTCAGTGCGAAGCATCGCTCTCGCTCTTCTGCCTGCGTACCGTATTGCTCCCATACCTGCCCCACTACGGATACCTGCTGCTACTGCAGCGATGGCACAGTGTGTGGATGACTGTAGCTCCAAAACCAACACACATCTTTCGCACTCAGCCATATTGTGCTACTGTGCTTCGGGGAGATGGGTACAATGAGAAGGACGGACGTTTTCAGAATTAGCTCGCGACGTCTAAGTGTAAGCCTGAATTCAGATACAGTTGGGACGGAATCCTGACCGCTTCCTGTCTGGTATGCTACAAATCGTGGCGCGAGACTGGTACAGATGACAAGCAATATTCCCATGAAGGAAACTTGCTTGCTCCGAAATCCTCTCCCTCAGTAGGCGATAGTTCTTGAACCTGCCACTAGCATTGGACGATGGCGATGGATTCCTGTGTTGAATCAGCTCTATCAATTGATCAATTCCAGAAACCCTCCATCGCACTAGGCGATGACAGTTGAGACCGCCCGATGCTTGCTTGCTTGCTTGCCGGCTTCCTATCTGGCTTGCTGCCAAGCTCGCTTGCCAGCCCACACGAAATAGGAAAGAAACCGAAACGGCTCGATAGAAAACATACATCTCGCCTACCAACCCAAACAAAACAGAATCAAACCGTGACATCAGGCATGTCATATGTCCAAAGCTCTACACCGGAATTCCAGGCCGGCCCTAAACCCTTGCGAAGGGTTGACACGCAGCTCGAGGATTCGGCGCCCGCCACGAAGACAGCCAAGAAACCCTCAACCCCAAACACTCCTCGAAAAATCCTGGTCCCTTCCCCAAGGCATCCGAGCTCACTCTGATCTGGGTACTGTCTCTTGTTCAAGCCCGCGGCCTTCCAGGAGGACTTGTTACGTTCAGATTGAGATGGAAGCAAGGAAAACGGACGAGAATCAGCGAAGTTCTTGGGATTGGCTCTCCGCCGATCCGAATTGTGCCAGTAAGTTTTTCCTATCGCGACACAGACCATATAGTTCCTGACAAACCTGGCAAGGATATCGAAAACGACGATGACGACCATGTGTTCGGATTTGCGTGCTCCAACACTACGCCCGAGTGTCAGATTCTACAATTATTGGTTGCTTGTGCTTCAAGACATCGACATGGGGCCTAGCGTCGCAGAGTGGCTCGAACAGGCTTCGTCTACCCATCCGTTCATCTTGCGACCTCGATGACGGTCTTGACGGCCCGCATGCCATAGTCCTCGGTGCGAAGCAGTGTATAAGTGGACACAAAGTCTAGTCTGGAAGACTTCATGTATGCTAGATCATGATGCTGATATTTAGGCCGAAGATTTAGCTGAAGACATCTGAGGCATCTTTCATCTTGTGCAACACCATCTGAAATGCAGGCATTCAATGTTCCAGAAATGCAACCTTTACCCGTCTTGACGTGATGCTAAGGTGGCACCGGCACCGTAGTGCGGCTTGGTAAGCATTGTGAGCACTGGGACCGACTCACCAAGTTCTGTTTGGAAAACACTCAAAACATGCAAGCACCCAAACGGAGTTCAAAAACTTCTCTGCAACTGGGTTTCCCGATAAGTATCTGTCGCATGTCTCCGAGCAAAAATCATAACAGCGGGCCATCGAATTTCTCAATTGCCCGAAGCACGTCAACAAATCGCTACAAAAGCAGGCCCATATTCCGTCAAGGCTTTGTTCCACTTATATGAAACAAGATGAGAAGTTGACAAGAACATCCCGACACAATGTGGAAAACCGCGACGAATCCCGGAAGTGGAGGACGTAGAGACAATATGCTGTGCAGCTGCAAACTGCACGGTCGTCACCAGGCTTGTTTGCACGGTCGTTACCAGGCTTGTGACAGTAGGTGGTATGAACCGTTGGCGCCAATATAGTATTTCCATTCTACATGCAACAAATGTGACAATTCACCACCAACAACTGCATTCCTCGTGCCGGACGGAGTGCCAAAACGTTGCTCAACCCAATGGCAATGCAATGCAGATTTCTTGCAGATGTCCGTATGCCCAAAACTGAAGTGTCGGTCTCGGCCTACAGGCAGATGTTGAAAGACACGGTTCCGATGTTCAAGCTGACCGGGCGTGAATCGGGGCAAGCTTTCGGAATGGCGCTGGACCAAGGAGAGGACGGGTTGGCGGTTTTTGCTATTGAAGGAGAGACCACTCACCCGTGAACAAGACTAGTCGGCTGCCTTTCACCATGCCGGCTGCGAGTGCTCGGCATCAAGTTGGAAGCAAATCGCAAGTTCGTTAATTACCAGGAGTTAGCACGATGCTGTCACGATGCATGAACCCAGCAAGCAAAATCAAGCAAACCGGACAGGAAGTCATGCAGTGCATACTTGTTTCGATCAGGGGTTTCCGCGACAGTGTTTCGGACATAATTACTAAGGATGCCTCGGCAATTATTCACATTGCTTTTCCATGTGCAAGAAGACCGAGCTGCCGTCGATTTTGCTTTCAACGGATGCTTTCCGAATTTTGCGGTTGCATCCGTACCAAGCTGCGGATGGAATCCCTTCGCCACGCCATTCAGCTGGCTTGTCTTCGTGGCACATGAGTCAACAGAAGAGAATCACCAAACCCGGGCCAGGGAGAGCCTGCACGACAACACAACCCAACATCCTCCCAAAACGCCCCAAAAGTCGATTTGTTTCACTTGCTTCGTCAATGCAACACCCACGAACACGAGGACGAATCTGCAGCCAACCGGAGCAGCCTGCGCTTTGGGTTTAGTCAACTTCCTCCATGCTGACAAGCAGCACTGTGATGAAGGAATCACAACAGGAAGCACGTAGGATGCGGATTGTAGGGTGCTGCACAAGCGACTCATCTGCCCAGTGTTATTTCTACTTCTTGCTGTGGAAGCGATGTTTCATGTGATTTTCGTGCACCAATTCTGGAAGCTCTACAACCACGCGAAGTTCAAGAATGAAGGGTCTGGTAGCTGAAACGCCAAGCAGGCTTCACCACTTTTCAGGCTACGAGTAGGAAGCGCTAGCTAGGGCCTTGGGCATCTTGAGACATTTAACTACTATCATCTCTATACCGTGCAAGTGCCACAAGATCTATGACTCTCAGGGCAGGCCTCAGCTCTGACTGCTAAGACCTTGAAGTCAAAACCTGTGCCCAATACACGACGAAACAAAGCCCCGAAAAGAACATCTCTCTCCGCGGTTCAGGAACCCGGCATAATGCGATTGAGCGGAGAGCTGCTCGGAACAGAGCTGGAAAGTGGTGACCTGCATTCATTGGGTTGGGGATGGGTTGGTGTCCTACCGTCGATCTTAGCCATCGTCGTGACGAGAGCAACAACCATGACCATCATAAACACTGCGCAGTGAAAACGGCCTTCTAAGTCATGTTCATACGGGCAAAAGCTGTATTTCGGCTTGGTGCAGAGTCTGTCATAGACTGATGACACAATCGTTTCGTGCACTTCGCCAACACGTAGGTGAGATGCATGCTTGAATAGATGCATCTGTCATCAGTGCATGCATGCATGCATGCATGCATGCATGGATGTACAGGTATACATATCGAAAACATAGATTCGATATAGATATGGGAGCAGACACGGATGGAGACATAGATATAGATATGCATGTGCATATGTGTATCTATGTGCATACCCGAAATCATACGGAGACAACAAGATAATGGACATGGAACATTCTAAGCAGATGTAAGCATACAAATAGATTCATCTACACACATGTGTCGCATGTGCGATCTGCGTGTGACTCGTGTGGGAGTCTCGGTATGTGCCGGTGTCCGCTGATGTTACGCAACAAACCTGCTACTGACAGTGACAACAGAAGGCGCCAACTTCAGTAAATGGTGACTACCGGGATCGCAAGCAATGCCGTAGTGAGCATAGACTACCAGGGGCGTTCATGGAACACATGGTGATACTGGCAAGAGTCTGCAGCACAGATACACCGAAGAACAATAAAGGCAATGTTCACAGAAATAGCGACACAACTATGCTCGTAATAAGACTATCTTGGTTGTTGAGTTCATAAGCCCCAAAAAGTGTGCACTTTAGTATTATCCCAAAAGGTGTACAGTGTATATATCCACTCAGCTACTCAGCTATAGTCTTCACAAAGCCCCTCACCATCTTCTTGGCAAGGTGTCTTCCCTTCTCAAAGCCGAAGGCATAGAAGCTGATCTCTCCAATAAGGCCTGAGCAGCTCGGCTGAGGTCTCAGGATTTCGATATGAGGGGTTCAGGTTCAGGTTGAGGGTCGCCGCCGATGCCAAGGTGTTTGCTTCCAGCCAGCTGCCGGGTCACAGGTGCCCCACGCTTGCGAATGTGTTAAGCAGTAGTGGCTCGATGGCTTGATTCAACCTGTACCACCCAAGTTCAAGCCAAGACATAAACACGACTTGAACATGCAAGTTTGTTCGTGGGCCCTTCGCGGCTACTCCTCCTGTTGTTCCGATCAACGCGCTGCTTTCGCGTTCAGATGCTTTTGCCTGATGACTGTTGGAAACTGCACAAGGGCTACTGAACAGAGGTGCATGCGATGAAGTAAAAAAATGTAGAGGGCCACTGCACCATTGCCCCACTCAAAGAAATCGTTGAGGGATCCCCCACCCAGCTGGAGGCTGAAGCTCCAGTTCCTCAAACAGTGGCATATATATACATATATATATACATGTGTATATATATATATATGCTCGCCCCCCCCCCCAAGATCCACACCATCGTGGTTCTTGGGGCATGCGCACGAAACACTGCTATGCTCAAAAAATTCCAAACTTTCCAACCCCAGAACTCACGAAACACTGCAATGCTCAAAAAATTCCAAAAATTCCAAAATTCTGGCATCTATGGCCAGGACGGGGGCAAATTCTTTAAAACTTTGGAATTTTTTGAGCATAGCTGTTTCGCGAGCTTGGAGGCTGTAAAAAGTGAATTTTTTTTGAGCATTACAGTGTTTTGTGAGTTTCAAAGCACGAAACACTGCTATGCTCAAAAAACTCCA